CTAACAATTAAAACCAAAATTATAGGAACACAAACCAAAATAGGAACAATAACAATTACAATTATAGGAACAATAAAAGGACAAATAATAATAATAGAAACATCAGGTTCGCCAACGACAATTTGCAGTCGGAAAACTCCGAGAGTCCCCTAATGGTAGAATATAAATATCAAAAATATATATTCTATACTATAAATTTGTAGAAAAAAATCTGTGTGTAAGCGGCTATCTCCGCAACGCGTGCACCAAATTGCATGCTGTTTTTTTTTAATGATAGCCAGAGAATGTGACCTGGCTTGCACAAACAAATTTATACTTTTCTATAAATAGGTTCCTCAAGAATTAAAAATGAATTAAACAAATTTTAAATTTTGTCCAAAAGTGTGGACCAAGGTGTTGCGGTCCAAAAGTGTGTGTTTGAACGCCTATTTAATTTCATTTCTCCGCAACGCGTGCACCAAATTGCATTCTTTTCAAGTTGTGGCTTCAAGGAGCCGTGAAAGTAGCCAAGACATTACACATCGCAATAAAAATAATCGTCTACGCACAGCAAGGTCCCGTTCAAATCAACGGAACAATAATGCAACAACAACTGCAAATGAACGTCGTGATATTCAAAATCTACAAGGTGTTGCGTTCGCGTACAGTAGTGTCACCGATTACGCTTCTCATAGGCAAATTATAATTGGTTCATGCCAACGTTCAAGGTAATTAAATAATTTTGTTTATGCAAATTGTACGTTTGTTCTCATTCTATTATATATTTTATTCAGATTCAAGGTCAAATACACCATCGAGCTGGCTCTTTGTTACCTTTCGACAACGCAGACCACCAATTTTTGCAATTATATTTTATCGCGAACGCGGAAGACGAAGCTGATCGTCGGTGTGCCATTATTACCAACACGCGGAGACAAATTATTTTCGATTTGCAAAATATTTTCCATGAGCACAACGAATTGGTTCAGGTTTTCAAAACATCGCTTGATCGAATGCCATCTGACGACCATAAAATTGTTATTCGAGCTGATAAAACACCGGTTGGCGAACATGCAAGGCGTTTCAATGCACAAACAGTTGACGAAGTGGCAATAGTCTTAGTTGGTGAGCAATTTAATAATCGTGATATTGGGCTTCATCGTAGAAATGAACAACTTGAACGTGTATCCGAGACTCATCGCTGTTATGATGCAATACAATATCCCATATTGTTTTTGAGCGGACAAAATGGCTATAATTTCAACATTAAAATGATAAATCCAGTAAACGGTCGAGAAGGAACAAAAAAAAGTTAGTGCTATGAATTATTACGAATACAGGCTGCAGAGACGCAAAATCAAGATAACCACATATTGAGGTATAGAGCACTTTTCCACCAGTATATTGTTGACATGTATGCAAAAATTGAATCGGAACGGTTAAATTTTCTTCGAATCAACCAAGCCAAATTACGTTCCGCAGAGTATGTTCATTTGCGTGATGCCATTAACAACGATGGTAATGCACAAAACGTTGGAACTATGATAATATTACCGTCATCGTATGTTGGTAGTCCACGTCATATGTTTGAGTATGCGCAAGATGCGATGTCATACGTTCGCCGTTACGGTCGACCAGACCTCTTCATCACCTTCACGTGTAGTCGCAATGGAAAGAAATCTCGGAATTATTGTTTGTTGGCCAAACATCGAAAGATCGCCATGATATTTTAGCACGTGTTTTTAGACAAAAATTGAAATCACTCATGGATTTAATTGTCAAACACGGTGCATTTGGGTCTGTTCAATGTTGGATGTATTCAGTTGAATGGCAAAAACGAGGTTTGCCTCATGCGCATATTTTAATTTGGCTGATTGAAAAAATAAAGCCGAATCAAATTGACGATGTGATTTCGGCAGAAATTCCAGATCCGACAGTGGATCCTGAATTGTTTGAAGTGGTCACCAAAAATATGATTCACGGTCCATGTGGTGCGTTGAATTTGAATTCACCCTGTATGGTTGAAGGGAAATGCTCCATACGTTTTCCAAAAAATTTGGTCTCCGATACAGTGACGGGCAATGATGGATATTTCGAATATCGGCGTCGATCAACTGAAGATAATGGCCATTCGGTAACTTTGAGAGTTAAAAATCAAGATTTGGAGATTGATAATAGTTGGGTTGTGCCATATTCACGGTTATTATCTAAGATTTATAAAGCGCACATAAACGTATAGGTCTGCAATTCAGTTCAATAAATTTGCAAATACATCAACAAGGGCAGTGATATGGTTGTTTTTGGAGCAGTTGCTAATGTTACCGATGAAATCACTCAATTTCAAATGGGCAGATACATCAGTTCAAATGAAGCAGTATGGCGCATATTATAATTCCCGATCCATGATAGGCATCCAACTGTAGTTCATTTAGCTGTTCATCTTGAAAACGGTCAACGCGTTTTTTTCACACCCGGAAATTCAATGCGAAGAGCTGCGCAACCACCAGCAACAACTCTAACTGCATTTTTTTCGTTGTGTCAAGCAGATGATTTTGCGAAAACATTGCTATACGCCAAAGTACCCGAATATTATACGTGGAATAATTCGTCAAATTTTTTCAAAGGCGAAGACGCGGAAAAGCCGTCCATGGTCAGCCAGTAATTTTTCACTCAGATGAGAAAGGACGAATTTATACAGTTCATCCTAACAATCAAGAGTGTTATTATTTGCGATTGTTGCCAATAAATGTTCGTGGACCAACATAATTTGAATCTTTGCGAACTGTTGATGAAGAATTTTGTGGGACGTATCGCGAAGCATGCGAACGATTGAATATGCTTGAGAATGACATGCATTGGACTTGAAGATGCAGCATTGTCATCAAGTCCACATCAAATTCGGACACTTTTCGCAATTATTATAGCCACGTGCAGTCCAGCAAAGCCAATTGAATTGTGGCAAAAACATCAAAATCATTTGTCAGAGGATTTTTTACATCGATTGTGCCGTCGAACGGGTGATATAAACATGGACTATACGCCGGAAATTTACAACGAAGCATTGATTGCTATTGAAGAACTTTGCTTGATGATGGCAAGCAAAGCATTAGCTCAATTAGGTCATACAGCGCCTAATCGAGATATACACGACCTTTTCAACAAAGAACTGGAGCATGAACAGCAGTATGATCGTGCCGAGCTTAATGCGTTTGTGCAAAACAATGAGCGACGGTTAAATATCAACCAAAGAACGGTTTACGACCAAATATTGCGAGCTATCGAAGAACAACATGGTGGACTGTTCTTTTTGGATGCAGCTGGAGGTACCGAAAAAACGTTTGTCATTTCGATTATTTTGGCTACCATTCGAGAACAAGGTAGAAACGCATTGGCTCTGGCTTCGTCTGGCATCGCTGCCACATTATTGGATGGTGGTCGCACGGCGCACTCTGCCCTTAAGTTGCCCTTGAATATGAAGCAATGCTCTCTTATTGTATGGGATGAGTGTACTATGGCCAACAAGAAGTCACTGGAAGCACTTAATCTTACGTTGAAAGATATTCGTGGAGATAATCGATTGTTTGGTGGTGCATTGATATTGTTAGCAGGTGATTTCAGACAAACATTGCCTGTAGTCAAACTAGGAACTTCTGCTGATGAAATTAATGCGTATTTGAAAACATCTAATTTGTGGCGCTCTGTGACTACAAATGTAGGTGTTCAATTGCAAAACGATGCTTCAGCAGATTTGTTTTCCAGACAACTGTTAGACATTGGTAATGGCATACTTCCCGTTTACAATTTTGGCTTCATAACGCTTCCAAAAAATTTTTGCACTTTTGTGTCATCGAAGGAATACTTGATTCAGAGCGTGTTTCCAAATTATTGTACAAAATTAAAGAAACCATGACTGGTTGAGGGAAAGAGCAGTTTTGGCCGGAACAAATAAAGATGTCAATGAGATCAACGCATCTATTTTGAATTCCATCCCAGGAGAAATGGTTGCGTATAGGTCGGTTGACACAATTATCAATCAAGATAATGTTTTAAATTATCCAGTCGAATTTCTAAATTCATTGGACTTACCTGGATTGCCGCCATACCATTTACAAGTAAAAGTTGGAGCCACCATATTTAGGCTGCGGAATCTTAATCCACCACGACTTTGCAATGGTACAAGACTTGTTGTGAAAAACTAGCAACTATTTTGACTGGGAAATTTTGTGGTGAACACGTTTTAATTCCGAGAATTCCGATGATTCCGACTGACATGCCATTTGATTTCAAACGACTACAATTTCCGATTCGTCTTGCTTTTGCTATGACTATTAATAAATCACAAGGACAGTCGTTGCAAATTTGTGGTTTAAATTTGGAGCATCCGGTATTTTCACATGGTCAACTGTATGTTGCGTGCTCAGGAGTAGGAAAACCTTCGGCATTAATTATTCATTGTACCGACGGCAAAACAAAGAATATTGTTTATCACAAAGCATTGCAATAAATAAAATATTTCATTACACCAAAATAATCATTTTTAAATTTCGATGAATTCCTAAACATTAAATTCATTTAGTAAGCAGCGAAGAGCGCGGGTCTGCTAGTATATATATATAAATGGTACATGTACAATCTACATGTTAGATGTAGAATATACATTGTAGATGTAGAATGCAATGTAGAAAAAAATGTAACATGTAACATTTTTTTTATATATTATTTATATATTTTTTTTTTTTATTCTAAAACTCTAAAAAATCATATGCTCAAAAATGTATATACTGACTGAGTACGGGTATAAGTAGAGTCGCGTCCCCAGAAGCGACTCCCAAGTTCCTTCTCGTTTATATAAAAATTCTACATACCCCTTTCTCTAAAATTTACAAAACTTACAAGAAAACGGTTCTCACCGCTCGTAATCGAACATCGGACATTGTTCAATCCGGTTTTCGTTTTCACAAAAAATTTCCGATTGACATTTTCAAAATATTTACATATGTGCATATTGAATAAATATTATTCGCATTAATTAAAACTCTTTCTGTGGAGTTATGTACGTACATGCAATATATTGATAATTTACAAATATAATTCAAAATCTATTCTATTGCTGGAATAAAAGTTGGATTTTTCGCCACATTTTCGAGCATACACTCCATTTTTGAAATATTTTTCTTTAGACCATTTTAACATCTTATCAGTGGCAAAAGGGCCATGAATTTCATCGCTATTTTGTGTCCACTTAAACTCCCACATAACTGCAGACGAATCGGTCAAAGATTGATTTAATTTAGTACGTGCTTTAACAAGTTGAGACTCTTTCAAATCGAAATCATCAGAATACATATCGACCTCGCTATCAATTTTAGCTTTGCTGGTACTAGGCAAATCTGTGAGCTTTAACTTAATGCTTTCAGAAGTTTCCTCATATATATTCATGTTTCCAGTCTTTATAAGTACTTCATTGGCAAGCTCAGTTAGTTTCAAAATATCTTGCGTTTTCGGATCAACAATACCAGCTTTCTTTTGTTTTATTCTTTCTAAAGTTGTTACCGCAGGACGCTGATTTCCCAATCTTTTCAAAGCTTGTTGAACACTTTCGTCCTCTTTTAAATATTCCAATATTTGTCTTAGTGTCATTGACAAATTGAAGGGATTCTCTGGGAGTGCTGTAGAACTATCCGATGAATTTAAGCTCTGATCGTCATTTTTTGAGTCACCTTTCTCTATCTATTAAATAAAATGATGTATATGTTAACATATACTGATTTAATCGTCCTTACCTTAACCCAATCGATGTTATCCAACCAATTATCTTTTATTTCCGTGTCATTATTCCAATGGTAGTGACCATCTTTATCAAAGTGACCTTCTTCCAACTCCTCTCGCATATTAAAAGGTGTTACCTTTACATTGTCTTCTACTTTTGAAATTCCCTCCTCACCACCTTCAATGTCGCTATCATTCATATATTCACTGTAAGATATAAAGTTGTAATATATAAATAAACCATAATCTTGACATTTTATTCCCACCGTTCGTAGTGGTCAGAGTCTTCTTCATCCGAATCAAGAGTATGCTTTTTACTCATTCTTTCGTGTATGTTATCACTTGATGCACGTTTTCTCCGTGTTGCCATTCTGTGTATTAAAAAAGAAAATTGTTTAATAAATATATTCATACAAAAGAAAGTGACCGTATGCAGAAGGAAAATATTTTATTATGCCTAAAAATGATGGTTGAATTGGAATAAAGAGAAAGAATTAATTATATGGTGTGATACACGTTCAAAAATTCCCACAATTCCACACTGCTGCTGATCCGAGCACGAGCGATAGATAGAGAGAGAGAATGCGACAGAACAGCAAAGATGCTGCACCTGTAGTAGTAAAACGAAAAAAGCGATATAAAGAGGTGAAAGAACGGCCGCTGCCATGAGTAATTATAAGCGGTTAGAATATTTATATGCAGTGGGCAATGCAAATAGCAAACAAAAGTGGAATTACGTTATTTTGCTCCACTGGCTATTATTGAGGAATTTGTTGAGGTATTTTAGGCTGGGAAACCAGACAATCCTATTCACACTGAGAGCATCCCGGAGGAACGGTGGGAATTTTAGAACATCTGTTCATATTGGCACCATCTACCATCCATGAAAACACTGTAGTGAACAGTTTTGCAGGGATGTAGAATGTAAAATGTAGTTATGAATTTACATAGGAATGTTGGGAGTTGTGGGAAATGTCGTTAAGAGTAGAGCTTGCAAGTACGCAAAGCAACGTAAGACTAGAAGAGAAAGAGGAATGTCAAAAAAATTTACGTCTCTCTCTCTCCCGCTCTGAGATCGCTGCAGATGGCTGACCCTCATTCTTTTGTGTTCAAACCACTCAAAGGTGCAAACGTACAATCGTGCAGCCTCCAGGAATTGTTTCCGCAACGTTTTGTTCAAACAACGTATAATCCGAATAATTTTGAACCATCAGTAGTAATTTTTTCGATTAAACGGCAAAAGAACCCAAGTGAATTAAATTAAAATCAGTGCCCATACATATTTTGATGGTGAGTGTCCATTTAGTGCAAAAACTAGGCAGCTTAAACCCATGTGCAATTTTTCCTAACATAGGCAATCGCTTTCTCGAGGTTGTATTAGGCCCAGAGAAAAGCGAACCATAATCTCCGACTCGAGTGTCTCCGATCTTGGCGTGCAAAGGAATAGCAGAGAGGAAACAAATACACCGGCAAAACGACAGGTCAATAAACCGAGGCGACAGCGGCCAAACAGATTTTCGTAGCATTGGCAATAACGCTGGGCAACAGGTCTCAATCCGAGCTTTCCTGCACCAAGCCAAAGATCGAGGCAAACATACTACTGGAAGGACGGAGGATTTGCAAAACCATACTAACAGCCGGCAGAGGATTTGCGGCAGAAGTCTAAGGCGAAAACGGCGAGGTCTCCAATATCCACAGAAGTTGAAAAAGCCCCACCTACGCGATTGGAATATTGGGCAAACGTAGAGAGTTCTGTAGTTTTCGTAGATGAGAAAAAAAAAGGGTATTCCAAAGTCGGTTGGACAAGGGCAGCAGATTTAGTTGACTTTTGTTTTCTCTTTTGGTTGGTCTGTTTAAACAGACCGAATTAACGTAACGTAAAAACATAAAAACAGAAGGAAGCGAAAGAAGGAAAAAATGAAATGGAAAAGGTTTCAAACGCGCAAGTTGGTTAAACATTTTTGAAATTGATTGGTGCCTCATATAAATAACCCATATTTTTTTGAATTAGTGCAAAAACGGAAGAAATACCAAACCTCCTCCTCGCAACGACGAAGGCCTTCGGCGGACATGAACTGGGAGTGAATAATATGCAATTCAGCATTGAATGTAAGTTACATATGCCCTATATTTACCATGTTTATTTATATGTAGTGCCACCAAAAGATTAGAAAGAAAAGTAAAGCGTGAAACAGAGAAAAGAAACGAAAACATGAAAGACATCGAGATTAAGCATATTCTATCATAATGCTTATCAGTCATGCGACTATCATTTAAGCAATTCCCTTTCTCTTCGCATATTCGGCGCGAGACCAATTAGTTAGTACATACCTACATACATATATGCGCAAGAGCTAAGAAATTCGTTTTGTTTTGCTTTTTGCTCTTCTATCAGTAACTGTAATGTAGTTTACAATGTCGTGCATATAAATAGCACTTAGTATTAACGTTCAATGGAAAAGCTTGGAAATAATTATGTTGAAGTAAAAAACAATTAAGAATGGAGTGAAACGTGTGATCGGTTTTCCTAGATGGGTATAAGAGGGTAATTAAAGTGTTGTAACCGCTTTGGGATCTTTCTATAATCGTTGCCAGCGGAAGATCATAGGTAGGGTGGGTATAGAGGCAAGAGCGTTACCATAACACCTAGGTAATTGCAAGCGGTATGGTCCGAGTCACTGTGTAATTCTTTCTTCGCCCCTTTTATTTATTGTCGTGCTGCTTGTAAAGTCAGATGGGCTTTACGGGACTCTTGATAATATGTGCTGTAGGTGTGTTGAGTGGAGGTGTCAAGAACCCCCCCAGGCTGATACGCTAGCTGATGCCAGAGAGTCCCCCCGACCACTCCACCCAGCAATCAAGCCACCTACATTCGCTCCGCTGATCGGGTGCAACTCCGATTTGTCAATTGTGTAGCCAAGTCACCAGGTATCCGGGGATAAACAAAACGCGTTGTGTCGAGTCAGAGGGACCCTTTTACATGAGAAGTGCAATTGGGGGTGATCTTTTTTTTTGAGAAAGGAAGATCACGCGAACCAGCAATACATTTGCCTAAGGTCTCTACGGAGGGAAATAGAATTCCAATCGTTCTGTATCAGGCAAACGAGAGTCTGGTCATTACATATTTTGGCGCCCAACGTGGGGCTGATTTTGTGAGAACAGATCAGTTTCATTTCTTTAACAAGGTCCTACTATCAATTCTATAACTATATTGCTTTCTTTGAAATTCTATTCTTTCTCTAATCTTCAATGTAATAGCTGAATCTTTCGCTATCCTTTGGAATTAGTGACTTTTGGTAGAAGTCCGAAATCACTACCGGGGACTACGACGTTGGTTAAGTTTAACTTGAAGAGTCTTTCTTACGGTACGAGAGCGATTGATACAAAATAACAACAGCATGGAAGGAATTTCGAATCGAGGCGTTTAGCCACGATATCGACCGCTGTGATGTTGTTGTGGAGTAAAAAAGTCTATCAAATACCAACCCGTCAATTTTTCTTAGCAGCTTAATTCAAAATAAAATTTTTGTGTAATGAAGAGTCCAATGTCCACATTGCTGATGACGAGGCCTATGGTGGAATTATTCCTTAGGAAGAATACCATTTGGAATCCTACATGACCGGCGACTGTTAGGCAAGGATAAATAGACTCCCTTTCAATTTCTTTTTATGTTCAATTGGTTTAATTGGCGCTGTGTGACTGAAGTTGTCGCTTAGTACAATACCTAACCACGGTAAATACGCTAAGCCCTTTCATCAGCGAAGTAGTTGAAGCCATTGATCCCTTTTTTCTTTTTATAGTACAAGTGGAGCTCAGACCCCTCACTAGGTTACCCCTATGAACCCGAAGGAAACCATCTAAAATTAAAAAAAATAAAAAAAATTTAAAAAAATTGCTAATAACGCAACTTTAAGTACTGATTTAAGAAAATGTTTGTCGCACGTAGCAAAGAAGATTTGCGCGAAAACGCAGGAGTTAATGCTCCAGAACAATGCAGAATTTGTTTCTTTGAGATGCTCGCTAACGAAAACCTAACGAAAACCCAGTGTAATCATCAATTTCATGAGAAATGTCTGCGCGTATTCTTAGAAACGAATAAAGAATGTCCCGTATGTAAACAATTGTGCCATCCGAGAGATTTCATTACGATGACTGGTGATATTGGAGGTCAACGTCCACAACCAGCAGGTGTTGTAGCTACCAAGGGGGCTACTCCGAAAGCTCATTATACCCGTAGTCAACATACAAAGGGAAAAGAAGTGGTAGGGCTACCAACCGCCAGCAATGCTCCAGTCTTGAATACCACAGTTACTCATAGCCCAGCTAGAACAAGTAATGTAAATTCTTCACGAAAATGTCGGGGTGCAAGGAAGCAGACACAGGCAAGACCAGGCTTGGTAAACTCTTCTATGAGTTCCAATAGAACTCCGACCCAGAGCAATTTGGATTATGAGCAGATACTAGGTATGATGGAAAATTTAATTGATAGGAAGTTCGCTACCTTAGTGCAACCCAATGTATCCGGAAACGGACAATTAGCGGATGAGAGGAATCAAAGTTCAATAGGAAGTTCACAATCTCCATTAGGTAGAGTCCAGTCTTCTACACGATCCCAATCGAATACAGGAGGAGGTCTGCTACCCGAGAAATCGGCTCGAATTGTCCAAAGCTGGAATGTGAAGTTTGATGGGTCAGAAAAAGGTCCCACAGTTCAAGAATTTCTATACCGACTCCGAGCACTGACCGCAGATAGCTTGAGCAATGACTTCAGTTGTTTATGTAAGAATTTGCACATTGTATGATGTGGTAAAGTCAGAGATTGGTATTGGCGCTATCGGAAAGATGTAGGTAGTGTAGAATGGGAAGAGTTTTGTGAAGCACTCAAGAGTCAATATCATGATCACAAGGATGATGACATAATTATGGAAGAAGTGCGGGCGAGAAAACAAAAGGAAGGCGAAACTTTTGATGCCTTTTACGACGACTTAGTGACTCTTGTGTCTCGACTGACTATTCCTCTGGATGAGTATAGATTAATACAGCAAGTTAAGAGAAATTTAGTGCCAGATTTGCGACAGGCACTATTGTATGTAACTGTATCATCGGTAGCGCATCTGAGGCAATTAGTGCACATGCGAGAGAATCTTTCGAAAGAGCAGGGTTTTCGAGGAAACAACGTTCAGAAACCATACAAGCGGACGATAGCAGGCGTAGAGGAAGCTGCATCGGAAACGGGAGATGACGCAACGGAAGACGAAGTCCATGCCGATAATTTTTCGTCAAAGAAGTTCACCTGTTGGAATTGCGATCAAGAAGGTCATGGGACTTGTGCTTGCAGCCCCGAAGCATTTTTTGCTATGGTTGTGGAGCTAAAAACGTCTATAAACCACAATGTTCGGTCTGCTTGAAAAAGTCGGAA